GAGAAATATAGAACTTGAAATAGCCACAGTCAAAAGAGAACCTCTCCACATCATAGTATAGTCAAAATACAAGAAGTCCAACATGGGAAAAGAATATTAAAAGCTGTTAGAGAAAATCAACAAATCATTTAAGGCAAGCCTTTTATAAATGGGATAATTGAGAATGATAGCAGATTTCTAACATCAACTTTAAAGGTCGGGAGGGCTTGCAGTGTTCAAGCCATAAAAGACAACTTCCAATCCAGACTTATAAACCTCTTAAGAATATGAGAAAGAGAGGAAGAGAGAAAGGGGGAGAGGGGGGAGAGACAGACAGAGACAGAGACAGAGAGACAGAGAGACAGAGACAGAGATACAGTGAGAGAGACACACACATAGAGACACAGAGACTGATTTATTGATCTATCTCCCTGGCCCCCATGACTTCTTGAGTCAACAACTATGTATTCCATCATGGTTGCCATGGAAACAAAGAAGCTATTTAAGTAGAGATGAAACAGAATGAGGCTGGATGTGTTTTTGGTCTCTAAGGATTGGGGAAGCACATTTGGACCGCGGCCAGACACTTACGATCTGTAACCTGGAAAAGGTCTGGTGGCTATCCTTAATAATAAAGCTCTATTCCGAGTCTTTGGTCTGATGTGGAAATAATTCTCACTGTTTCAAAGTAACAATTATAAACATATAATCACTGAACATCAGAACACCCAACTTCATAAAACAAATACTACTGGGCATAAAAGATCAGACAAACATAAATACAATTATAGTGGGGGGAACTCAAGGCCCAACTGTCACAAATAGAAAAGTCAGACAAAAACATCAACAAAGAATTACCAGAACTCACCTGGCTCGGGCCCAAACAAACAAACTTAATAGATTACCAAAGTGTCCCACACAGCAAAAATGGAATATGCATCCTTCTTGGTAACATAAGGAACATTTTACAAAACAGACTACCTACTAGGCCATACAGCATGCATAAATAAGTTCAAAATCAAAATTATCCTGTGCATATCATTAAATCATTACACAATGAAACTAGAAATTAATGACAAAAGAAACCACAGGAATTACACAAATATATGGAAACTAATCAAAATTCTCTTAAATAATTTATCTGAATAAATCAAGACATTAGGCAGTTTATAGAACCAAACAGTGATAGCCATTCAACATAAGAGATACTACGGGACACAATAAAATGAAGAGGGTATAACTGTGAATGCCATGTCAGAATAACAGGATGAATCTAAATAAATAACCTAATGATGCACTTCAAGCTCTTAGAAAATTAAGAGCAGTCCAAATGTAAAGCTAGTACAAGGAAAGAGATTATGAAGATCAGTGCAGAAATTAATAAAATTGAGACAAAAAAATACACAGGATCAGTGAATCAGAGAGCTGGTTCTCTAAAAGAATAAATAAACAAACTCTAGCCAATTTTACAAAAAAGAGAAAAGGAAGACCAAATAAAAGTGAGTTGAACTGAAAAAGGTAAAATCACGATGGATTCTACTAGGCTAGGGAGATGGCTCAGTGGAATAAGCACTTCCCTGGCAAGCACAAGGGCCTGAGTTCAATCCCCGGTTCTGCCAGAAAAAAAAAAGGATTCTACTAAAATGCAGAAAATCATTAGTAACAACTTTAAGAACCTGTACTCTAATAAAGAAGAATTCAGAAGAGATTCCTAGAATTACCAAAGCTGTAGCAAGATTAAAAATCTTGACTAATCTAATATCAGGCAATAAAATTGAAGAAATAATAAAAATCGTACTATTATGGTTCATGTCTAGATGTTCCCCAATGTGTGATGCTGTGATCAAGGATGTGTGGTTACTAAATTGGTTCACTGATTGATTTGGCACAGTTCTGGGTAGGATTAAAGGTGTCCACCCCAAGTGTGAGTGCTACCTGCCCTAAAGTTGGGTAACTTGGATAAGATATGAAGGACAAAAAGAAGGTCCTTACTTGTTTTTTTTATCACTCACTGCCTTTGGCCTGCCATGAACTATTTTTCTTCTGTGATGTCCTTTTGCCATGCCAGCCTGGCTTGCAACCACCCAGCTATGAATTGAATCTCTACAAACTGTGGGCCAAATAAGTCTTTCTTCCTTCAACTTTGGTGTTGTGTATTTTGTCTCAACAAGAAGAAAAGTAACTAAGACACCTACCAACAAAGAAAAGCTCGGGCCCTAACTGATTTGCTGACAAGTTATGTAACTTCTTTAGATCTTTAGAGAAGATCATCCAAAAATGCAATAAATCATCCAAAAGATCATACATAATGATCAAGTAGGATTCATCCCAGGGGAGCATAGATGGTTTAACATATACAAATCAATGCATGTAAAATATTGAATAAACAGAAACAAGGACAAAAACCACATATGATCTCAAAGGCACAGAAAGCCTTTGACAAAATGCAACATCCACTCATGATTAAAAACAATGAAGATAGATATAGAAGAACTTTATCTCCATCTGATAAAAGCTATTTATGAAAAACAAATAGCCAATATCATATTAAATGGAGAGAAACTGAAAGCTTTCCTTCTAAAATTAGTAACAAAACAAGGATATCTTATATCACCACTCCTGTAAAATAAAGTATTCAAAATATTAGCCAAGCAAGAGGGCAAGAGAAATAAAAGGGATATGAGTATAAGAAAGAGAGAAGCAAAATTATCATTATTTGCAGGGGGCATGATCTTCTATAAGAAAACCCCCAATCCCACCAAATTCAGTACTGTAGTGGGATACAAAGTCAATACACAAAACCCAATAGCATTCCTATATACCAATGATAAATTCCCTCAGGGGGAAATTAGAAGAATGATACCTTTCATAATAGCATCAAAAATACTTAGTTATTAACTTAACCAAGAAAATGAAAGACCTCTGTAATGAAAACTATAAAAAGAAACTCTTTAAAAAGGACATGAAAGAGTACATCAGAAAATGGAAAGCCATCCTTGGGTTCTGGATAGTCAGGACCAATATATTCAAAATAGTCATACTTCCAAAATTTATATATACTTCATAGATTCCCAATCAAAATGACAATGACATTCTTCACAAAACTAAAGAAAACATTCATAAAATTCAAATGAAACCAGAAGAGACCTAGAATAGTCAAGAGCAAGGCAGCAAGAACAATGCAAGACGCATTACAATCCTGCACTCCAAGTTGTACTGCAAAGGTACAGTGATTAAAAAAAACAGAAAAGAAAGAAAGAGAGAAAGAAAGAAAGAAAGAAAAAGAAAGAAAGAAAGAAGAAAGAAAAGAAAGAAAGAAAGAAAGAAAGAAAGAAAGAAAAGAAAGAAAGAGAAAGAAAGAAAGAAAGAAAGGCCAGACAGGTGGATCATAATAGAGGATGCAGAAACAACTTCAGGCACATTCAGCTACCTGATCTCTGAAAGGGGAAGAAAAATTTAAGCTGGAGGTAAGTTAGCAACTTTGAAAAATGATGCTAAGATAACTGGCTATTCACATCTGAAGATTGTAACTAGACCTGTATCTGTCACCATGTACTAAACTGAAATAAAAATAGATCAAATATCTACATATTTATCATGGTCTGTGTCTGGTTGTTCCCCCAAATCCTCATGCAGTCATGGGGTGGACTTCTAGACTTCATGATTAATTAATGATACAGGGCTGAGATTATACGTGTGAATGCTGCTGGGATTATGGATATAAATGCTTCTGGGATTTAGGTATGAGTGCTAAATCCAACCTGGGACAGATAGCCTGAATGCAACATAAGGGAGACAGACTTGCTCTCTGTAGCCATTGCTGCCACTGCTGCCATTTTGTTCTTTCTATTTTGCTGTTTTCTGCTACCATGAACTGCTGCCCTCTGACATGTACCCCTCTGCCTTGGAACCAGCTGAGTATGGACTCAAACCTCTACTAACTGTGAGCTAAGTGAGCCTTTCCTTCCTTAATTTTGAGTGTTGGGTATTTTGTTCCAGCAACGAGAGAAAAGAAACCAAGACAATACTAAAATAGAAACACTTAACTGGCTGGAACACAAAATAGGTAAAACCTTTGAAGACATGGGTGAAAACACGGTGTTTCTGAACAGAACCCTAATTGCCCAAGGAATAATATGAAGAATCAACAAATGTGATCATATCAAATTAAAATGCATATGCACAGTAAAAGGATTAAGGGGGAAGGGCTAACCTACTCAATGTTAAAAATATTGGAAATTATTCATCAAACAGGGGACTAATATCTAAAATATATAAAGAACTCAAAAAACCAAACTCCCTCCAACAAAAGACTCAATCAAAAATAAGCAACTGAAATAGACAGGTCTCAGAAGAAACAGCACAAATGTCTAATAAATACATGAAAAAAAATTTCAACATCACCAGCCATTAGATAAATGAAACTTAAAGCAACACTGAGATTTCATTTCATTTCTTTCCAGGAAAAAATGGCTGGGGGCTGGGGAGATGGCTCAGCAGAATAAGCATTTGCCTGGCAAATGCAAGGGCCTGAGCTCAATCCCCATTTCCACCAAAAAAAAAAAAAAAGAGAGTCCGTCATCAAGAAATCAAATAATAGCAAAACCTGGAGACTGAGCAGGGAAAAAGAAAGCCTTCTATGTTGTTAAGAATGTAAATTAGTACAATCATTATGGAAATCAGTATTGAGATTCCTCAAAAATCTAAAAATACAAAATATATTTGACCCATTTATTCCCAATCTGATATCTTTCTCAGTTGCACTATATTCCAGTGATACAGGTACACCCATTTTTATGGCAACATAATTCATAAGAGCTAAATCTTAGAAGTTATCTATATATCCATCAACAGATGAATGAGTAAAGAAAATGTATGTATGTATGTATGTATGTATTTTGAGACTGGGTCTCACTGTGTACTTCAGGCTTCTACTCAGTATGTAGCCCAGGCTATCCTCAAACTCACTAACCCTGCTGCCTCAGCCTCCCAAATGCTGGTATCACAGGCGTAGTGAAAATGTATTTATACAAGATGGAGTACTCCTTTGTCATAAAGATAAATTTGAGTCATTTGTAGAGAAATGGATACATCTTGAGACTATAATGTTAAATCAAAAGACACTCAAGAATAATATTACATGGCTTCTCTTATATGAGAAATGCAAAATATAAATGAATAGAAAAATAAAATTAGATAATAGAAAAAATGAAAGTTTCCTGGAGGAGTCCATGGTTTGTTAATTAAATGTTGAAATTTTGTTTTTGTATTGTGTAGTATGTATCATATTTGACAGCTTTTAAAAAGTGTTAACGTTTAGACTTCACTAACCATGGTTCTCTCTGTTGATGGTAATATCAAATTAAAAAAAGAAATTGCTGGTAGACTCATAAGTTCAATAAAGCTTGATTATTGTTTGTGTATTTTTTATACAATAGTGCCATGGTATTAGGTACACAAAACCACCCCAGAAAGGTAGAATCATCCTATTACCAAATACAGTAGATTCAGGTGTGCACAAGCAATGTATTTTGATTGCTTATATCACTGAGATGTCAGGGTCTGCTTGATACTACAGCAGAGTTGATCACATCCTGAATGATACACAAGGCAAGAGGTCACAGGCCTCCATCCTGGGCAGAAGGGAACTGGTATGTGAAATGCAATAAAGGGGTACCCCTCAGCCTTGACAACCAGGTATAGAAGGAATGGCCTGTCTTCTGGAAGCCCATGCTCTGGTAGAGGCCCACGGCAGCATACTGCAGCATACTGGTAGAAAGGACAACTTCATGGCAGCCCTGCTCCCGGGCAAACTGGAGGACAGTCCTGACCAAGGCTTTCCCTAGTCCTTCTCCTCGGTGCTCAAGGGACACAGAGAGATGACACATCCTCATTTGCTTCTTCCCTGGTGGGGGATTCTTCTCCAGCACAGCACACACAGTACCCACCACCTGCCCCTCAGACTCTGCCACCCAGAAACAGGAGTCACATGCACTCAGATAAGATTTGGTGATGTCAACCAGGTCTGTGACCAAACTTTGTTTCACACGTTTCTTCCAGGTATAGCCGGCAAGGAACCAGAGGAAGATGAGCATAATGAGGCCAGACACAATGACCAGGAACCAGGAACCAGAGACCAGGAATATAGAGAGAAACAACCCAAGCATGAACAGAAGGGTTCGGGGTAGAATCAGTGTGTGGCAGAAGGTGGCTGGGATGTGCTCCAACAAGCCACTGGCAAACAAGTCCTGGACTGTCTCTCGGTTACTCTCCCGATACTTGCGAATCTGATAAGGAGCCATGTTGAGATTTCTATGTCTAAAGCCTCAAGGAACAGCAGAAGGAGCTAGATCTGTCTGTGTAACTTCTCTGTAGCCCTGAAAAAGGAGAAAACATGTTAATGTGTCACAGCTCTGAGCTCCCTCAGAAGCATGGAGGCTGCTGAGTGATGTGCCTGGCAGCTGTCATCCAGGGGAGAGTAGGAAAGCACCAGTGAGAGAACGTTCAGGGTTGGAAAGCTGATTGAAACCCTTGACCTGTGTGACTTGGCCATGTTGCTTAAACTCTCTGAGTCTATGTCTTCATCTGTAGAGCAAGATAAAGTAACACCAACTTTCTTTTGAAGATCCAATATAATTTTTAGCTAGGCAGGGTATACAAACATATGTCATCTCAGCACTGGAACACTGAGGCAGGATCACCATGAGTTTGAGGCCAGCCTGGACTATGTAGTGAGTTCAAGGGAAGCTTAAACTACAATGAGACCTAGTCTCAAACAAATAATTGTGCCTCTCTCTCTCTAGCTAGCTAGGCATCATCTATCTATCTTATGTGAAATATTGGTAAATAAAATCCCTTGCTGTCCATACTCACTACTCTTTTGCAGGCTGAGCATCTTGGAGTACTGGGACAACAGCATGGTAGACAGATATCATGGCCCCAGCCCTTTGGTACCTCTCCAGAATCCATGCAGTGCAGAAATCCGGTAATCCCAAGTAGAAGTTTCAACAAAGCCTCTTCCCCCTAGGCAGGTTTAGGCTGCTAAAATGATAAAAGGGCCAAGCAACAAAAAGGATCCAATCTTAGAGTCCTAGGAGCACAGCAATGCACAGACCTGATGTATGTTCCCTTACCTGCTCCCACAGAGCCGAGAGTCCAGGGTGGCTCAGCCTGCAGCCTCCGGCTGGCTTTCAGTAGAAGCTGCCTGTGGCCTGTTCTACCTTTAGTGAGTAGAGATGGTGCCACCTCTTTGGCTTATTCCTAGATTTGCTAATCATCAACCCTGGGTGGAAGGATGTGTCTATGACAAGTCCATTTACCTTGGAGATCCGTAGGGGAACTTTATGACCTTGTAAAGGGAAGTAGGTATTGAGATGACGCAGGGGTCACGTCCTCAGAGGCTGCCCATCCCTCCTCCTGTTCCCAGCAGAATACAGCATTTCTCTTACCCTCTTGGCCCTTTCTCAGGCCTATGCTGATCTCAAGCACATACCTGCTAGGAGGTAGCTCTGTGGCAGTCACCTTGTGCTCTCTAAGTATGGGTAAGTGGCCACATTCCCTGGCTCGGTAACAAGCTCCTTCATAGCTGTACTCCTCTCGGCCGAGCTTCTCCTGGCTCAAGAGAACCAGATCTTAGGTAATTCCTCTCTTTTGCTCCCTGTCCTTCCTTTGTTCCTCCGTGCAGTCCCTGGGCAATGGTGTAGAAGCGTCTATGGTGTCACAGGTGTTGTTTTCAGCCTCTAGCAGTGCTGGCTCAGAGCTGGCTCTGTTGCATGTCTTACACATTTTACCTGAGCATGTGGCTCTAAAACTGGAGCAGCAAAACAGAAGGCAAATACCCCCTGTACGGAAGTCTCATCTATAGAAGGGTACTTCTCTGTCAAAATAGGCTTATCCCTGCCCATGTGCCCCACTAGCCTTAGTCTAGTGAATGTGTTGGGTTTCTCCTCTAGCACAAGTTGAGCTTTGTGTGTAGGATTTTGTCATGCTTGTTGTAGTCCAGAGGCTGACTGGGAGCTCAGGATAAGGCAGAGTTGTGGCAACCAAGGTCTTCCACATGAGCTGCTTGGGTGTGAAGCTAGGTGGATCCTTTCACTGCTGTGACAAGGGAAGGGGAGGCAGGTTCTTGGGTTTAGGTAGAAAGTATAAGGAAGCTTCCAGGGAGGGCTGTCTAGGTCAACACCCAAGCAATGGTTGTCTCAGCAAGCAGTGAGGAAGCTCTTCAGGAGGAGAAGCCCAGTGACCCTGCAGCAAGAGGAAAGGTAATTCTTATGGCTGCTGATGGAGTGAATGGGAGGAGTAGGTGAGGGCAGCAGGGAACTGGCCAAGCCAGGCTGGCACTCATGGCAGGTAGTATAGACCCTACTTCAGTAGCAAGAGAGGATACTGCTATCCTCTTAAATATTCTTCTATTGATCCTCATGTCTCAGCCTCACCAGCTCTGGGATTACAATATGTGTGCCAACATGCCTGGTTTTAGGGGCCAGAATGGTGTGTCCAGGGTTCCAGGTCACACGGCATGCAGTACTGGTGATCTAAATCAGATCCTTGTTTGCAAGGCAAGCACTTAGACCATTAATCTATCACCTCATCATGTGCTATCCTTTTAGCTGGGGATCAACCTGATCAGTGTGTGGGCGCTTGTGCCCTTGTGTGTGATTGTTTGTTTCTATCACTCTGACTGAACATGAAGAATGGAACTGAGGGCAAGGAATAGCAGAAGAGCCCCAGTAAGTACAGTGGTAGAGTAAGAGAGAAGCTCCCAGGTGTAAGTGTACAGGGTGTTCATCGCAAGACCATTAGCCAAGAAGGACTAATGAAACTAAAGAAAGTGTACTCCTGGGTCAGGAGGCCTGGTTTGTAACTGAGCTTGCCTAGCAAAAAGTGCTTACTCCTTATTTATTCAAAATGTTGGACACCAACTAATTGCACACATGATCTGACTGGCTTAAAGAGAAGACTTTGGCCAGTGTTTAAAAGGAGCCATTTGGACCAGTTGAGGCCCAACAGACAGAGCAATAGCTTAGACCACATGAAGGTGCTAGTGTGACCTGGACCATTTGTAGGTACACTTTGGGCAAAAGTGGAAGAAATAAAGTGGTTCTAATTGGGATAAGCAAGAGGAAATGGTCAGAGATGATGGATAAGATTGTGGCAACCACTTCCAGAAGGATAACGGGGGTGAGATCAGATTTGGAGAAATGAGGACGTGTGCTGCCTGCAGCTTCTTCATGAAACACCAGAAGGTAGGGCAGCTGGAACTCAGGGTCCTTAATGGAAGCTGCTGAGACTCAGGAATCTTTGACACTGGATGAGAGACCAAGGAAATCATCTGTGGGAGGTGAGTCCACATGTGTTTCTTACATTGCCCTCAGTACAAAACACTTGAATGTTGAGAGAAGGTTGGACCAGAAATCCAAAGAACGGAGCACAGGACCCAGGGTACAGCACTCATAGAGGGTCTGTGATAGTAGACGGTCAGGTGTACGAATTAAGGTGTAAACACTGGCCACAACATGGGTGCCCTGCAGTCTAGAGGCTTTGTGCTATGGGTGATATAAACTGTATATTGTGAATTTGCAAAGATCATAAGACTCCAGAGTGCAAATATTCTGATTTCCTACCCACTTTTCTTATTGAGCTCCTGCGAGAGTTATGGTTTGTGTCTAGTTGTTCCCCCAAAGCCTCATGCAGTCACTGGGGTGAGCACTTCTAGAGTTTGTGATTAATTCATGGTCCAGTGCTGGGATTATGGATGTGAATGCTATACCCACCCTGGGATAGATAGCCTGGATGCAATATAAGGAAAGGAGAGAGGCGTGCTCTCTGCCACTGGTGTCGCTGCTTGTGCCACTCTGCCTTGCTGCTAGCCGAGTATGGGCTAAAACCTCCACAAACTGGGACCTAAATAAACCTTTCCTCCCTCAATTTTGGGTGTTGGGTATTCTGTCCCATCAATGAGAGAAAATTTAGCTGGACAGAGAAGGAAAAGGAAGAGGTACATTTTGTCGCAATGGGCAATGGGCAAAAAAGTAGAAGACTAGAGAAAACATAACGGTAGGGCTTCTGAAAGCTGAGTGAATTTCTCATTGATTTTAAAGGAGATGATTTATGTCAATTACTCCTGCTGGTTTCCAGAAGAAAATGTATTTTCCAAGCCCAATTCAACATGTCCTCCATAAAGTTATTTCTCCTCCCGAGAGGACACAGCTAGCCTGACAGGACCCAGATCTGAGGGCCACAGTCACTTCTATCCCTCCTTTCAGCCCCAGCCATGCATCCAGTTGGCAAGCACTGGCATCTCTTTCTTAGGTCCTGCAGTGTCCTGCCACATCATCATCTAGTTTGGGTCTTACACGATGGCAGCAGAGTCTGCAGGAGAACTCATGAGAGGTGCTAACATGGGACAACAGTTTTATTTTTTATGGTGGTAAAACAGTGCACAGAGGAAGAATTTCTATTAATTATGTGTAATGGAGAATAGCACAGGATTGCAATGAAGTTTGCATGCCATTGTCAGTTTAGCTTACTTTCATTCAGATATTGTTAAGGCAAGGTTAGGATATTAAGGCAAGGATAAGGTGGTAAGGAGGAGTGAGGAGGACTGCATAAAGTGTTTTGAACAGTGACTCCTGGCCAAAGGACTGAAATCCTCGTGATTCACGGGTCAGTGATGACAGTGGTGCCTCTCCGAGCTGGAAGTAACAGAACCTACACAGATGTCCTTGCAGATATATTTGCTGTGGAAGTTTTGCCTGGGTTTTGTACACACGGTACCTCCAGAAGGCTCTCCCATATTTATCTTGATTGTTCACCCATGAAATTCCTCATAACTACTTGGCTTTCCTTATTAAATTATTTATTAGGTTAGAGATTCACACAAGTGACTCTGATTTGGTTCTGGGAGGTTCCACAATATGCATAACCTGGAATTTACTAATTGCACTCTTTGTGGTGTACAGTTCAATAACGTTAAGAACATTCACAATGCTGCTTAAGGAAAACTGGCTTCAGTGCTTATCCTTTACTACTTTCAGCCCAACCCTGAGCCTCACCGTCCCTGCATGGGAAGTACCTGTCTAAATCGGGGAACTTGGAGGTCAATTCCAAGACGGGAGAGGGGTGTTCTACATTCTTGCACTGAGGCCAACAAGGTTGAAAGAACCTCGATTTACCAGGCTTTGCTGCCTCCTGAGGGAACAAATCCTCTCTGGCCTCAGCTGATGGTGACATGGAGATGTGGACAGCAGTACGTGTGGGTGGGGTGGGAGTGCCCTCACCAAGTTGGGAATTTCAGAGCAGAGTAGACGTTGTGCCAAGGTCCTGCACCTGAGATGGGACAGTCTTACCACCTAGATTCTCCTGGCTGCTGAAGTTC